ACGGGGCAAGGGCGGGCCCACCTTCCAGACGGCCCTGTGGCCTGATGCGAGCAGATGACCCTCTCTTGTCTCCATGTGGGGGTAGAAGAGAAACCCAGGCTGTGAGCTTCTCCGCTAGCTTTCCCCCATGTCATAGAGGCACTCAGTCATCGGTTCCTCCCCATCGTCCAGGCAGAGAGGGCCATTTTCCACCATCTGGAGATGTCAGGTCTGCAGACCTGACACTTGTCCTTCCAAGGCAGTATTCCCGGGGCTGGACTTCAGGCCTTTATCCCCTGACAGTGAGGGCCAGTGAATGACTAAACTGGCCAAAAATAAAAGCCCCCATAAATCCCGCATTTTCCTTTAAGCTGTCGAGTACACAGAGTGTGGCAGGGTTATTGATAGAAAAGTTTATGGATGGCCTGCATCTTAAAATCAAAACACATTACCCAAAATCAATGTTGCTGTACGAGGTATGGGGAGGACAGGAAAGGTCAACCGAGACAAGAATATCGAAACCAAAACTCCAAGAGGACCTGAGCATTAAAATAAATAAATTTTGAAAGTGAGTTCCAGGAAACACACTCACTTAAGAGCTGTAATTTAAGGGTACTTTCACGAAAGGCTGGGCAGTCTTTTTAAATAGCACTTTTTGAAGTGCCTTTGAGAGTCTAGTGAATCCATCCACAAAATGGTACAGACACGCGCAGCATACCCCAGCTGGCAGCCCATCACAGCTGTGCGAAGTGACAACGGGCAGGACAGAACTAGGGTAGACATGGGCAAGCACCCGTGCACAACCCCACGATTGCGTCAGGTAGACTGAGGGCCTGCTGGCCATGTTCCGGGAGGGTTCACCTCCAGACCCTTGCACACAATGATCCTGCAGGCATTTTGGAGCCTGTGGAGGAAGAAAGGGGTAGAAGAACCTTGTAGTCCAAGGGGTGCCCGTCACTTCCTACTGATGCATTCAGTAGACAGCGACAGTTTCAGGGACGCACGGTTCTGAAAGGCTCTCAAAAGTCCATCAGTGGGAAACAAGCCTCCCTTCACATGACCGACACTTCCTCCCAACCGGGCATCTCTGTGGGAACCCAAGGGACTGACCATTGGCGGGGGTGAGTGGGGTGAGTGACTGTGTCCCCAGAGAGAAGTTTCCTTTTGAGAAGAGAACAAGAGGAGCAACACATATACTCCATCACAGATGCCTTCTTTAGAGCCTCCAGCTGAGACCGCATCCCACAGGTCAATGCGGATGTGGCGAGAAGGAACAGGGGGAGAGAGGCAAGGCTCCCCTTCCCACCACAATGACCAGCACGCTGCAACTTTTACTGAGCCTAAGCAAGGGATGGCCCCACTGGGAGTTAGACCCCAGAGAGGAAGGGCACACTGCTGCCCTGGCAGTCCACGAGCAGGGACAGGAGAGCAAACAGACTCTTCAGACACGGGACTGCTGCACACCTTGTAACAAGCAGGGATGAAGCTGTGAGACAAGTTCAGGCTGCCATTAATCAAAGGCAGAGGGTCCTGCTCTCCGTACCAACCCCAGGTACTGAGAGACCAGAGTCTCACCTGGAATAGGGAAAATTGAGTGTTTTGATTAAGAATTAGGACCCCAGACTAAGACAGATCTGAGCTGAAGCTTTACTCTGCCACTTACCAGCTGTGTGACCTGGAGCTAGTTCCTTAAGCTCTCTGAGCTTCAGCTACAATATCTCTAAAATGTAGTGAAATCCCAGTGTCTACCTCACAGGGTTGTTACAGGGGCCAAGTGAGCTCATCCATTCACTCCACAAATATCCACTGAGTTTCTACTCTATGCCAGACCATAGGCGCCACAGATATGTCAATGAACAAAGCAGTCAAAGAGCCCCCATCCTAGTAGAGGCTACAGGCCACAAACAAGAAATACAGTAAATAAGGATACTGTGCCATATACTAGAAGGCAATTAGTACTAAGGAAAGGAGAAAAAGGACAGCAGGGTAAGCAGAGTGCTGGGGAAGGGGGCATGCAGATTACACTTAAATGTGGTGGTCCCAGAGAGCCTCACTAAGTAGGCAACTTCTTAACAAAAACCAGAAGAACATGACAGAGTCTGTGAACCAGGTGTCTGGGAAGGGAACATCCCAGTCAAATGATACAGCTAGTGCAAAGGCCCTGGGGTAGAAGCACAAGTGTGTCGCACTGTAGGAAGGAAGCCAGGGTGGCTAGAGAGCATCATTAGGGAAAGGACAGAAAACATAAGATGCGGACATCGTGGGGGGTGGGGGGTGGAAGAGGAAGGCAGATGGTTTGACCTTGTCAGCCGTTATAAGGCCACTGGTGTTTATCCTGAGTGAAAAAGGAGCCACTGTAGGGTTTTGAGCAGAGCGAAAGAGCGATCTGATTTCTGTTTGCGGAGGATAGCTTGACTGTCACATTGAGAACTAATGCATGGAAAGTATATACCCAGTGCCCAATACATGAAAAGCATATGAAGGAATATAGCTATTATTCTTGTAATATATAACTTGTAATATATTGTAATATATTATTACAATATATTCTTGTAGTAATAACACCAACTAACACAATAGGCAAGATACACCTTACCTCATGTTGTGGTACAGGTTCGAAAGACTCACAAATCTTACTGGTAACATAGGTGTGACTCCCTCTAGCTGCAGAAATCCTCCCATGTGTATCCTGATCACTGGCCATCCATCTCTGCTTGGACCTGGTACCAGGCCAGGAGATTGCCTCTCAGGCAGGCCACTGCCCATTGGGCTAGCTCTTGCCATCAGAACCCTGCTTGGAATCGGTCCCCAAAAGATTCCACTTTCCTAGAATCCCATCAAGGTCCTGAATCTGTGTAGCACAGTGCAAGTCTGCCCCCTCCCTTCAGACACTGAGGACAGCAGTGGGGTCTTCAGGGTCTCACACTCAGCATCCCAAAGCAGTGTATAAAGGAAGGTGAGATTGCTAAGGGAAAGTTCCTGGTCCTATGGGGATAAAATGAAGAAGGCAGTTGGCAACTGCTTCCTTGGGTTGAGGTCCCCAGAAAGAAACTATAGAAAGAAGAGGAGAACCTAGACATTCCCCCCTTCCCAGCCACAGACCTTGGCAAACAAGGGCTCCATAGCTGAACAGTAGTGGCCTGAGGGTGTGGAAATGACTCCTTGGTCACAGATGAGAATAGTGAAACACAGGCCCAGGAAGGGCAGAGGGCACACTGGCCAGGGGCATCCTACTGGTAAGAACAAATCTCAGAAAGGGCCTGAAGCTTCTACTCTACTGAGGGCGTTTTCTGGGTAGCATGGACCAGCTCTGCTGGTGTGATGTATCTGCTCTCTGGGTTTCCTTCTCCCTGGCTCTCGGAGAACCCTCTGGTGGTGCCTCCAGGAAGCCGGTGAACAGGGAAAACAGCATGAACCCGTGGTGGGTGGGGGAGTGGGGTTGAAGGGACTCTCTCACCTCAACAGCAAGACAGAGCTGAGAGGTTAGGGCCAGGAGAGTAGGGACAGATAAACTGAAATCGACCATTTGGGATTCCCATGGGAAAGGAAGCGAGAGACCGGAGCCAAGCTGCAGGACTTGCCCCTACAACTATGTGCCCAACGGAGCCACAAGCTAGCCCCACGTTTCTCTTTAGGCGCCAGACTGCACTCCCGCAGAGAGCTGGGGAGGGGCAGGCTCCTGGTGAAGGCCGGGAGAGGTACAGAGATGCCAGGGATGCAGGGGCGGGGGATGGGCTCGGGAAAGCGGCGGTGGCCCCGACCTTTGCCTCTAGCTGCCTGGGGATCCCCTCCTTGCACCCTGTAAAGCGAGGGCTGCTACCGGCGAAGAACGAGTGAGGACGCAAGGGCCAACGACTGAGGTGCGGGAACCCCACCCCCGCTTGGAAACCTCCGGGGCCCTGAGTCGTGCTGGGCTCTCCCCACCCCACCCCACCCCCGCCGCCTCTGCCGTCACTCACGGCCGCTGCTCGCTGGCTCGCTCGTGCGCTCTCCGCGCCACAGGCACCTGCTCGCCGGGCGCTCTGCGCTCACTTCTCGCTTGCACACTGCAGACTCCCGGCGTCGCCTCCGTCACCCGGCCTCGTCCCCAGCCCAGCACAGCGCTCCGCCCTTCTCCCTGGCCCCCGGCGCCCACCCACCAGCCATGGCCTGGGCCTGGGACAAAGAGCGGTGCCGCTCTTTGCCCAAACTGGGGTAAGGAGTTGAGGGCGGGGGTCTGCGGAGAGGGCTGCGGGGCACGCAAGATAAGCGGCCGTCTCAGGCGAGGGAGATTGGGAAGAAGCCAGGGAGAGTTTGGGTGGGAGGACCCCCAGCCAAAGCGGGTGCTGGGCGGGGCTGCGCTCCAACCACAGAGACAGTGGTCCCTCCAAGCGACCCCTGCAGAGGGGTCGCTCTGGGGCGGGGGCGGTGCCGGCTGTGGAAGGGGAGCGAAGGGCGGGGGTGATGCAGCGGCAGAGGCGGCTCCGAGCGTAGCCACTGACCGCCCCCTCCCTTTCCCCTTCCCCTCCCCCTCTCCCCGCCTCTCTTCGGCTCTGGGTCCGCCACGCCGGACCGGCTCTCCCCGCGCGGCACTGGGTCGGACGCCAGATCTGCGCGCCGCGGCTGAGCGCCCACTCGCCTTGCGGAAAGAGCCGCGGAGGGACCAGCGGGGGCGGCGGCGGGAGAGCTCGGCGGGAGCCGGAGGAGGTGGCAGTCGGGAGCCAAATCATAAGGAGACTGGGAAGCAGAAGCTCGCAGCTCTGAGGCGCGCACTCCCTTGGCAAAGGATGGGTCCCGGGGCGGCCCAGCCTCTGCCCGGCCCTCCGGGCAGAGACTGAATTGCGGTTCCCCATCGTCCTGTGAAGAGCGGGATAGAAGGAGGCACGGACAGATCACTAGTAGCCTCCCGGCGGGACCTCGCGTCCTGCGCCCCCCGCGCAGCGCCCCCCGCCGGAGCCGCGCCGGGCAAGCGGGCGAGCGAGCTGGGCTGATTGGCGGCCGCCGGCGGCCGGGGGAGGGGGCGCCGCGCGGGGCCATGGCAGGCTCGGAGGCGTCCTAGCCCGAGCCGGAGCCGGATCCGAGCCCACGCTGCTGCCACCGCCGCCTCTCCGCGCCCGGGCCCCCGCCGCCGCCGCGCCCCCCGCGGGAGATGGAACAGCTGAACCGGCTCGGCGCCCTCGGATACCTGCCGCCTCTACTGCTACACGCCCTGCTGCTCTTCGTGGCCGACGGTGAGCGCGGGAACTTTGCTGCTTCGGGGGGCTCGGGGGAATCCCTGCTGGGGCCGCCAGAGCCAGCCCGTCTTGGTCGCCAAGGAGCAGGAGGAAGAAGAGAAGGGGAAGGCTTCACGGTCTCCAGCAATCCCGGTGTTCAGTCTGGGCCCAGAGGGGTAGGGGGAGGAGCGCAGCGAAGGGTCGCTGCAGCTGCGGCGCTCGAGCCAGGGTCATTCGGAGCCGGACAGGTGCTCGGGCTGCGGAGAGGCGGCTTGCGGGGAGCAGGAGTTGGTGCGCCTCAGCCTGGCTCCGGCAGTGCGGCTGGGCGCGGGGTAGAAGCGTAAGCCGCCCCTGCTGCCCCGCAGGATCTGGAGGGAAGCAGCCTGCCGCGGTAGCTGGCCTCTGCTAGGTCCCGGCAGCTGCTCCACCAAACTTCGCTAGCGCCTGGGCCACGCTTGTGGCTTGGGGGTGGCAAGCACCAGGCCAACGAGCCGGGGACGCACCGTCTCGCCGGGTTGCCTCAGGCCCCCGCCCCACAACTGGTCACGCCTCTCTCTTCCCCCGCCCCCAGCTACATTTACCGAAGTCCCCAAAGATGTGACAGTACGGGAGGGAGACGACATCGAAATGCCCTGCGCGTTCCGGGCTAGCGGAGCCACCTCGTACTCGCTGGAAATTCAGTGGTGGTACCTCAAGGAGCCGCCCCGGGAGCTGCTGCATGAGCTGGCGCTCAGCGTGCCCGGCGCCCGGAGCAAGGTAACTCGCCGCCCACGCGGCGCCTGCGCTCACCCGGCTCAGGCCAACGCGGCTGGGGTAATCCTGGCGGAGAAGGCAAGGCGCGCACTGGTGGAACAGCCCATCTCCCACCTTCCCAGTCCCCAGAGCATCTTCAACAGCAGCATTTGTTACCCACAAATCCTGGTAATCCTTCTCCTTTCCCTTAAAACCTCCCGAACTGCAGCCTAGCCGCTAAAAAGCCACCCCTCATCCAGTTCCAGTGCTCTTGCTTGCTGACTGGCTGAGGGCTCCAGAGACAGATGGGTGCTGGGTCCTGAAAGAAGACCACTTGGTTGGGCCAGGCTCTCCCTGCCCTCTGCTACTCCGAGGTCCCAGGGACACAGGGCCAAGGAGTTAAGCTCCTCTTGGCTGGGTTCCAGAGGCCCGCAGTGCACCTCCAGCTCCCACAGGATCAGACGGAAGGCTCCCACTGTCAGTAGGCGTCTTAAACCAGTCTCTTACACACACACACACACACACACACACACACACACACAACTGCCCTCTACCCAAGGTCCCACCCAGAGTTACTGCTCACTTCTCCCTCTGCCTCCGGTCCAGTTACACCGGCCCCTCCACCCAGCTTTCTACGGGGTTTAGAGAAACATTGCAGGGAATGGGGATGCTCCAGGGAGGGAAATGAGCCTTTCTTCCCACCCTGGTGGCAACTCAGCCTTTCCTCTTTGGCCGGCAGGTGTGCTGGGGCAGCTCCTCCTAGGCCAAGCACCATGCTTCCTTCCGGATAAAACTCCAGGAGATCCTTATGTCCTTTGTGCCCTCAGCCCCGGCCACTTCCCGAGCAGTTTCAAATCCTAGCCCGCCCGTGGAGAGTCCCCTTGCCGAAGGCGCATCTGAGTTCCCGGAGCCTGAAGGCCGAGAGCCTAATGTGTCTCTCTCCCTCTTTGCATTTTAGGTAACAAATAAGGATGCAACTAAAATCAGCGTAAGTGTGGAGCCCAGCGCGGGCCGCGGGAGACCCCTTCTGGCCGCTTCGCGCCCCACATCTTCCTCCCTCTTAGAAAGGCTCAGCGGCCGCGCGGTGTAGGGCCGTACTCGCAGCCCTGCATTGTCGGCTGCTTGGCAGGTCGGGGCGCCATCTGTCGCCGCTAGAGGATTCCAGTTCGCTTTTGTGTAAATCAAGGGTCCCAGACCTGAATCCCCTTTCTCCGTTCAGCGCTCACCTGTAAAACCCTCCTTCGGCCGGCGCGTTCAGGCCCCTGCGCATCCACTTGCCTCTGCTCTGCGGGCATGTCTCCCAGCAACTGGAGCGCGCTGCTCCTTGCGCTGGCAGCGACCAGGGCTCCGACGGTGGGCCCACCCCCCTCCGCGCGCGCGCACAGACGCACACACACACACACACACGCACACACACACACACATCCGGCCCCCAGGCGGCGCCCTCCGCCGCAGCCCTCCCCTCTGCCTGGGTTGCGGGTCCGGGTGCCCGGCTCTCGCTCCTTGTGGGGGAAGGTGTGGGGCGGGGGGTGGCGGCGCTGCGAAGGGCTGGGGTCGTGGGGTTCGTAACTCAAGGAAGAGATGCGCCCACGCTTCCCCAGCTGGAGCGTGGAAGTATCAGGGCCTGGAGATCACCAGGGCCTCATCGTGCCCTCGGTTCCGAGGTGAGGGCCCCGGGGTGATTGCTTGTCTCCGACTCCTCCAGGCCGCGGGGGAGGTGAGCTCGGTGGGTCGGGAGCTTGAGGCTGCCCCGCTGGAAAGCAGACTCCAAAGTAGCAGAGCTCTGGGGGCCCAGCACCAGCCTCATTGGTGCCTCCTTGGGAGGGCGGAGGTTTAGCTGTCAAGGGCTGGGGGACAAGGTATATATGTGTACTCAGAGCAGAGTGGCTGTCCTTCCAGCATTACTCAGGCCCTGCGAATTTCAGAGTAAAGGAACGTTGGTTTGAGTGGAGGTGAAGGACTGGGCTTAAGGCCGTGCGGCAGAGAGTGGTTAGCGACAGGAGGCTGAGCCTGAAATTTCTCCAAGGTGCAGGAGGGAGGAAGGAGGGGTAGGCTCTGCAGCTCTGAAGGACAGAACAGTAGTGTGGCAGGAGGAGGCAACGTGATGAATTCGGTTAAGATGATGGGGACACGATGCAATGGGGAGGGCCATCCAAGGTCCAATCAGGGTTGGAAGCCCCATGCCACTAGGGAGCCACGGAATGAAAGGAAAACTGGGCTGTGATCGGCAAACCTGCGTGCAGAGGTGTTGGGGTGCTGTGGCATGGGGGCGCAAAGGCGGAGCTGGGCGCACCGGCACCGCGCGGCGGGAGAGCACGTCGCGGACCCTTCCGTCCCGGTCCTCTGACCCCAGCGCCCGCTCTCTTGCAGACCGTGCGTGTCCAGGGCAATGACATCTCGCACAGGCTGCGGCTGTCGGCCGTGCGGCGGCAGGACGAGGGCGTGTACGAGTGCCGCGTGTCCGACTACAGCGACGACGACACGCAGGAGCACAAGGCCCAGGCGCTGCTGCGCGTGCTCTCGCGCTTCGCGCCGCCCAACATGCAAGCCGCCGAGGCCGTGTCCCACATTCAGAGCAGCGGTCCGCGTCGCCACGGCCCCGCCAGCGCCGCCACCTCCAACAACGTGGGTGCCCCAGGCGCCGCGGGCCGAGCCACCTCCGACCCCGGCCGCGGCGACAAAAGCCCGCCTGCGGGGAGTCCTCCTGCCGCCCCAGGTCCCGGAGTCCCCGAGGCGGCCGCTGCCTCCGCGGCCCACGCAGCCACCACCACTGTCGCGGCTGCGGCCGCTGCTTCGTCGGCGTCACCGCCACTGGGCCAGGCGGTCCTTCTGCGCCAGAGGCAGGGATCAGGTAAGGGCGTGTGCAAAGAGGGGGCTCTCTCGAAAGGAGCTGCGGGAACGCGGTCCTAGGTGGCTCGGTCGGAGAGGCAGCTCTGCTCTGACATTTGCGTTTGCCTCGTGGTTGGTAGCTCACTTGGGTGCGCCCGAGGCAAGTTTTTTGCAGCCTCACCTGGGTTCTCTTCCTGTTGTTTCCTGTTTCTTGCTGGTTGCTTGGAAGCGTTCAAGACGTGTATTTATGAAGGGGGGAGGGGTGGCCTTGCCCGAACTCCGGGTTCCAGTAGGCAAGCGGCTCCCGTGTGGGGAGCCCTCTCATGAGTTTGGAGACCTGGACCCTTTTCTCCTGGAGTCCTTAGAGCCTAGAGGGTGGGACGCTAGCACCCAGAGTGGAAGGAAGTAGTTACCACTCAGGCACTGTGTGTCTGAATGCTGAGCTACTGATGGAACGGACTTCCTCCAAGGCTATGTGGTTGGGGCTGGCTGTGTAGCCTCTGCTCTCTTTGTCTAAGTCCAGAATGGTCCTAAGCACAAGCTGTGCTATAAATAGTGCCTTTTGGGCCCTCTTGAGGGGTGGGGAGGGAGGATAGAGCCTTGTCATTGCCAAGAGGGCACCACAGGTTAAGAACTGCTTTCCTAGGGAGACAAAAGAACTGGGGAAGATAGAGGTGGGCAGGCAGAGGGGAGTCAGAGAGCAGGAAAACAGACTGATTGCCAGGGCAGGCAGCTCTGGGACAGAGTAGGTATCATTCCTGGAAGACTGAGAAAATAGCCACTGAAATCACTTTGGTAAGGGTTAATTCTTTCAGAGAAAAGCTGCTGTAGAGAATGGCAGGGCAGTTTTTAAGGCCCGGGACTAGAAGTGGTATATATTACCTCCACCCTCACCTTTTGGCCAAAACCCAGCCGCTTGGTGCCACACAGATGCAAGGTTAGCTTAGGAGCTGTTTTTCAACCTCCTCTCTTCTGGGTAGAAGGACAGTATAAATCTCTGTTTAGCACACATTAGGTGTTCTGGAAAAGTGGTTATTGACTTGTGATTGGTTTAGTTGGATAATAATAATAAAAAAAAAAACCACCTCTGCTCCACTCTTCTGGGATGTTCTAAGACCATGAGTAGAGTGGCAAAGCAGAGGATTTGGAAGGCAGATGTGTAGTCATGCTTCCACTGCTTACTGGCTGTATGACTTAAGCAAGTGGCTTAACATGTCTGAACATAGTTCTTCATCTGTAAAATAGAATGGTAATCCTTGATCTCAGAGGCAGCTGAGTATGGAAATGTCTATGTAAATGTTCATTGTCATCACCGTGGTCATTACCTGCTCTGGCCAGAGAGGAGGGGATAGGGGAGATACAGCTGAGTGGCTGGCAGTTGGAGGCCAAGCTGCTGAGGGCCCTGAATGTCCAGAGGACCCAATAGAGACCATTAAAGGCTTTGGTCAAAGAAGCATTATATGAAAGAGATCTTTGAGAATGAATTTGGTAGTGCTTGCAAAAGGTATTAATGAGATGAACGCCATGAGCTCATTCTTGCTTGAATCTCCCTCTCTGCCTGGCCAGAACCTTGATACCTTGAGCCAAACAAGGCTGATCTGATGGTGCCTGGCATGGCTAGTCAGATATTCAGTCTCGGGGCTGGCCACAAGGGGGCTCCAGGGCAGCTCATCCCCACAACAGGGAACCTACCTGTGGAGGGTAGCGCAGACAGTACCCTTCTTTCTGGAAGATCTGGGGGTCCTCACATCAGTTCAGTTCTGATGGCACAGTGCCCAGGACCTCCAAGCAGGTGGGGCCTTGGGGGTCTGCCAGTCACAGGATGGTATTTTAATGCCCATATTGATCAGGGCAGCAGTCCACGCTGGGGGTCCTCTGCCCTCCCATGGAGTGGCTTGCAGTGTACATTTACCTCCAGAAAGCACAGCCAGCTGGGCTCCCATCATGGCTGGCAGGGCAGTGCCACCAGGATGGGGGTATGGTGGCCCCTAAGGCCTCTGTGACCCCAAAACTGTTGCCAGCTCCTGAATAGGCCAGGAATCCTGTAGACACATCTCAGAAAGAACCCCAGGTTTCTTTCCAACTCCCAGTCAGAAGGTCAGAAGGTGGGCCTTCTGCCAATAGATCAGAAAGCCTACATCTTCCTGTCTCCAGTTGAAGGTCATGGGAGAGTCATGGTGTTGTGGGCGCCTCTGGAGAAATGGGTTAGCCGACTTCTAACTCACAAACATATCCAAATGGCCTTGATCCTAAGGAGGGACCCATGCTGTCTTAAGTGTCTCATCCTCCCCACCACCCAAGGCCACCCAGCCTTGGGGTTGTTGATGGAGCAAAGTCTGAAGACTGTGTTTTGGGTGGCAGGCATTAATAACCTTTCTGTAGGGCTGTGTTGTTGAGCAGTGTGTGGTCCTGCTGAGCCTCCCTGTGGTGTAGCAGGCCAGCGGATCACCCAGAGCCGCCAGCAGCAGGAGCTGGAGAGAGAGCTTGAGACAGTGACCTCGGGCTTGGCCTCCCCTGCTCAGATTTTAGCAGCCTGGAGAGCAGGAGACCAGGCAGGACCGCTGCCACCTGATTCACAAGCAAGACTGTTGACAGAGTCTATCAGTCAGGGTGCTTGGCAAAGCGAATGGCACATTCAAACAGGGTCATGGGGGAGAGGCAATGAGAGTAGTTTTTGAAGGTGTGGACAGGGTTAGAGCAGCCAGCGAAGGATGAGTGCCAGTCCCCAGGGCTAATGTCAGTGGAAGCCATTAGCACCCTTAATGGCAAAGGGGGAGTGACTAGTATAACCCAGAGGGGCTCACAGGATGGAACAGCCTGCCTGACAGGAGCTGCGACCTTGGTAGAATGGCCCAGCAAGGACCTCACCTTTCTCCTGCCCTCCAGTTCCTGTCAGGGCCTCCCATGGCCAAACCCTCCTCAGAGCTGTGGGCAAGGGTGCTGGCTGATGTACCCTATACAGACCAGTGCCCAGGGACTCAGAACAGAGTGGAGAAAGACGGATGGTGGATCAGGGGGGTGGGGCACAGAGGGAATAACCCGACTCTCAGAGAGAGGAAGATATGTTCCACCCCAGCTCCAGAACAAACCCAAAGGTTTGACCCAGGCCTGGGTCAAGTGGCCACTCCAGGTCTTTCAGAATAGCAGCCTCAAGGGTGGTCCCTGTCCACCTCCCCAGACAGTCACTGGTTAAGTGATTACTCCTGGAAGAAGGTCAGAAGAAGTCCCAGACAATACTGTGTCACTCCATTTTTCAAGCAAGCTGCTTTGGTAATGCCAGGAAAGGGGTGGGGTCTGGAGGGGGTAGGTACTGACCTGAATCCCAGACCCTTCAGTTTCTGCACAGCCAGACCAGGAGACCCTTCCTGTGTCCCGCATGCATCCAACACAGCCAAATACATATTTGTACTAAAAGTTTATGTGCAAAAACATTCATTTCACGTCTCATTTGTCAAGAGACATTTTGATATTTGTGCTTAAAAATAACATGGGCTGGATTAGCACAGCAGAGCTGGCACAGGAGACCAGGCCCCTTCCTAGCCACGTTCTCGTAAATCTGGCTCCTGATTAATCTGAATGCTGACCTATTTTATAGGAACACTTTGTTGCTGATTGCCATTTCTAGAAAAAAGAGGGGGAGAGAGAAAAAGAGAGAGAGAGAACAAAACAGAGTATCTTCCAGACAAACCCTTCTCATCCGGAAAGGCACCACAGTGAAGCCAAGTATGCCTCAGAAGAACACAGTTTGCAACTGAATGGCTTGCTTGTTGGCCAGAGGATCCCTTCTGCAGGGGGCCTGGGGCTGGGATCTGTGGCAAGTGAACCTCTAATTAGCCTCAAGGCTCTGGTTCCAGGGAGAGGTGCCTGGGCCCCCACAGAGAGCCGGCTGATGTGGCAAACTGCTGCCTGGTGCCCACACTGGCTCTCAATATTTCATTTCCTAATGAGAGAAAGACAGCCAAGGCCATGGGTGTGCCGACTTTAGAGAGGCTCTTACTGCTGGGAGCCATCAAGGGGAGCAACCTTGGGTGTCTCCATGGCAACTGTAAACCATGACTGAAGGGTGCTGTGGATAAGGTGAAGACATTCACTCTCAACCCATGCCTCTGTGGACGACAGAGCTGGTGGAAATGGTGCTGCCTGACCGGGGACAATGTCCACAGAGCTGGGACAGTCTCCAACTAGGCCAGCCAGACCGGGCAGCAGTCACCCAGTGTTCCCATCTCCCCGGACCCAAAAGGACCCAAAAACAATTGCCTCAAATAAACAATCCATTCTTCCCTCAAGCTCCGATGTGACACGAGGATCATAATTAAAGAGAAAATAAATCTGGCACGATTTGTCCCAGAGAAGAGAGGGAGAGGCTCCCTGTGCATCCTGAAAGAGAAAATTAAAGGATTTCATAAAGAAAATGGCTGAGCCTCACAGCTGGCAAGAGATGCCTGCGTCATCCCTGACAGCAGCAAACCTGTGTGATTATTGGCTGCATGGCATCCTCTCCCTCATCAGCCGGTCACATGATTGCCATGAGCAGGAACCGGCAAGGCTAGCCATGGCCCCAGCTCAAGAGTGGCAAGGGCGCCCATGTATCTCCTGGACAAAGCTGTCTGTGTTGGGGGGAGTCCCAGGAGGGGGTAGCCCTACAGCTAAGGCAATCAGAGGAGGCTTCCTGTAGACAGTGTGCAATTTCTGACCTGAAGGGACACCTGGGACTTCCTGCTTAGGTAAGTCCTGTGAAAGTTTCTGGAGGCCTCTCCTCCCTCCCTATCCTGTACCACATAAATGGAGAAAGTCACGCCGAATGGAATGGCATTTGTCTGCCAGTGAGTGGTTAGCCAGCTCACTGCGTGGCCATTCTCTCCTCAGAAGGGAGACCCCAAACTGAGGATAAAACAGCTACACTGTGGATTGCAGTGAGGATAAATAACACTTGCCTTTTACTGAGCACTGATTATGTGCCACACGCACATATACCAGGTGTCCCTCCTTTCTGCCATTCTCCATAACTCCTCCTGCCTCATT